AGGGAAAAATTCCTTACCCATGAAGTGATAGCGACTGGGAAATAAATACTAAGTTTGAAAAGAAACAAACCTCAGTTACATTTAAATTCGATTTGAGGACTTTCAAAATCCCTATAGATTTTCATGATTTTCAGCTGTTATTTCTTTGTATGCTGGCAATGAAACAGTCGACACGTCTGTGCCTGTCATGTCAACCGGTCACACATAGATTGGTATCTTAATTTTTTTTACCAACCTCTGACATTTGTTTCTGAATTCTTAATGATTCTGAGATTGTGTAGTGACGCGTATCGATCACGTGCTGTTTCTCTTGCAGCTGGCAACTTTACCAGTTGGTTTGACCAGTGCTGCATCTTCTGGTGATTAGCCTGTTGGTCATCAAGAAACGTGCATAGAGTAGCCCTTGAAAACTTTATTCTGCTTACTCTTTTGGGTTTTATATCGATGGATGAGATGGGACGGATGAATGTTTTGAGCTTGCACTTGCATTGTGTAAATTTGTTTTCCTACCTGGTATGAAAACTTGCGGATTTTGAAATTTGATGATTTTCGGGATGTTGTGATTAGAATTTTAGCTAATGTAAAATATCATTCAGACAATGCAAATGCTGCAGTCGGTGCACACGGAGAAGTTCGTAAAAGAGAGTATCGACAACAGAGATGCGGAATGGGAAGATAAGCTGGAGGAGGTTACAAAAAAGGTGGAAGTGAAGGAGCAGAATGCCGTGAGTGCTACTGAGGAAATAGCTGTTGAAGACCGTAAAGATAAAAAAGCTCGAAAATCGAGAAAAAACCCGAAAAGTGAAGACAAGGAGAGTGCATCGACTAGCAACGTTGGGAAGAAGTTGCGCATTGAGAGAAATTATTGGGTGGAATATTGGGACGACAACGACGGTCACTGGATTTGTATGTTTCCCTACATTCTCGAATTCTTAAGAATTTTTTGATTTTTCTCATTATATCTGGCGTTTTAAAACAACAGTAGTTGGTCAACTGCACGTTGATCCAATCCATTAATTCGAATGTATGGAATGATGCGAATGTGCTGTACAGGACCGAAGCCCTGTAAAATTTGCCATTTGTGCAGGTGAAGTTCCAGATTATGGTTTAGTGGTTTTTCTAGGTACCTAGTGTTCTGGGTTCGAGAGCCGGGCCCTTTCCCTGCTCAGCAAAACTCCACTATCACCGTGTCACAAAGATTACTTTCCCGATCGTAAGCGCGACTTTTGTGACTTCACATTGAGATTGCCGTCGATGAGATTGCCGTCAGTTGTTAACTTTGGGTGTTTGCGTGTTCCTTATTCGCAGCAAGAAGCTAAATCATTTTTTTTGGGCAAATTTTCGAATAAAAATATCACTGGGGGTTCTACACGGGAAGTTCACACCATCTTGGACTGTTGTTCTTAGCAGAATGCTGTTCCCATGTTGCTTCTTTTTGTTTGAGAGTTAAACACATCAAGACTTATTTTTGCCTCTTACTGGTGTCTGTATATATATACTTAAGAGGACATTTATGTTTTATATTCGTTCGCCTACAGGTATGGATCCCTGGACCAGTACAGTGGATATGCCAGCAAAAGTAGAAGCCGACGCTACCGCACCAATGCATTATGTAATTGTTATCGACAACAGTAAGTCATAAAATTTTTCTCGAATTTCCTTATACTTTTTTTTTATATTATCGTTTTCTGCTGAATTTTTTTTTTT